AATCGATTGAGATTCAAGACCTTATCATACAAATAAGTGTCGCGTAGTGGCGTAGGGTATCATATTTGAATGGGTGAAATTTGAATCACCATGGAGTGTCGACTAACAACAGATGTCAGACTGCGTACATTTAACGCGTTGCAAATTATATGATCACTTCAATTTCACTTTTGAATATATGATCAACTTTGTTTCAGCACCTCATTAGCTGTTGATTTTTTTTTTTCTTTGGGGTGTATGGACTAGGAACCTTTTTTTATACAGCATTACTAGTGAGAACCCGGAAAAATGTATGAGATGGGGTAGTCTTAAATAATAATAATATATAGTTAGGTATTATGAATAGGGGCATTTTAAAAAAAATTACTAAATTTATAAATAATTTTGTAAATAAATTTTTTATTTTTATTTTTTAGTGAGGGCAGCTATCCCACTAAGCCCTTAATGAGTCCGTTATGGCAATATACATTTGATCCTCTTCATATTTTATTGTTGCACATCTGACGACATACATAGGATCCAACTTTATTATAGTGTCGGGGAATCTAACTGACATGATTCAACTGAAATCTTTTACAATTTCTCAATATTGATGCAAATTGAATGACGAGGATTGGATGTGCTTCTATGGAGATGGATGATAATCACAGGTCGCTAGCAAATCCATGTTCAGAATTCAGAAAGTATAATCTGCCTTACATGCAATAGATTGTGTCTATTTTATCAATGTTTTGTGTGTGTGTGAGACTGTGTGTCATTCCCAGTACTCCTCAACCACTGTATGACCAGCTTTTTGTAATGGTACACAAACCACTCTGATCACTAGACTACTAATACATTTTGGAAAATGACACGTTAAGCCATTCAGTTTTTCTTTCTCATTTCAATGTGGACTGTTAATCAATGTCTAAACTACTACGGCCACTAATCACTTTAATCACAAATGAATGCAGGACAAGATCAATCAAAAAAAAAAAAAAAAAAAAAAATCATCTTTGTATTCAAGTGCATCCGTTACATGCATGCTTGTACCGTATTAGATGCTCCACGAGCATTATATGTGTGTACTATTACACGTGTGATGCTTGTGGATCATTTGATGCAATATAATATTGAAAATCTCAAATACTTTTATAAACTCATTTTAAATTGATGAAGCACTTTATAAAAGCTTGTAATTGATCATGATAGGACAATCATCTATCCTTCTCAACAAGGAAAATAAAAAATTTAAATGAAGTATTCAAATTTTATCGCTTACCTTGATTTAAAATTAAAAATATGTATTAAAAAAAAAAAAAAAAAAGGCTACACATGAAGGGATGTGTTCACGAATCTATATACTCTGCTTTAAGTTATACCTTTTCTAATAGTTTAAATGCCTAGACCCTTTATCACTATTCTTAATCTTAAAATCACCAGCTAAATGAACAACAAATAGAATTCAATTAATTTTTTTTTCTCTCATCTAGAGTAATAATTATGTGGAGCATAATGCGATGAAGCGCGGCTTCTTTGAGGAGAAGAATATTAAATCTCAATGAGTTGCTAATTAGAAAAGACTTTGAGCCATGGTGTCTCATGAAACATCAAGCCTGAAGTCAAAGTCCAAGGTGCGAACAGTTCCTTAGAGCATCTGGGGTGCAACTATTTTTAGAGTGATATGGTGTCCGTAAAGAGAGAGAGAGGTGGTGTGAAAGAAGTGGAGTGATTGTTTTGTGGGCCCTACAAACATTATCTATTATGTTCTCTGTAGATGGAGTGGGTTATAGACAATACACTATAATTTTTTTTCTTTCTTTAATTGGCTTGGCTACTGTGTTTGATTGATACAAAGTAAAACACAGACAAACAGCTCTTGTATACAGTGGGCATACAAAGTAAATTAAAAAAATAATAATAAAATAATAAATAGAGAATAAGATAATTGGGTTCCACACTATGGAACATATGGATAAAAAAAAAATAGAGTACCACATCATCACTTTTTAACTTATGTGGCACTCTACTTTTTAAAAATAGATAGATAAGTTTGTATGTCCAAACCACTTATTCTTATAGAATTTGAGATTTACTTAATTAGTGTGAAGGGCCTTGCACGGGTCCATGAATTAGTCGGGACAAAGTCATGTCGATTATTAAAAATAAATAAATAAATAAAAATAGAACAACGGCAGTAGAACCATTTCTCTGTTCTACAGTGTGGTCCACGAAAGCATTGAACACATGTTTGAACCTTGCAAACTTAATTCATCAGTCGATTACCAATTTACCAACCAATTTGTCTAATCTTAAAATGCTTATCCAGTCACAAATCACAATAAAAACTAAATGCCTTTAATGCTTTATTATTATTATTTTATTTTTTAATATTTGACAAAGACTTAAATTGAGATTAATGTCCGAGTCTATCAAGTTAAACTTTTATAAAATAATTGAAATTTCTTCAGTTCACAGTTTAAAGTAAAACAATACCAAATCAATCCGAACCAAACGATAATATTTATACATATATATATATTAATCGGTAACATTAACATAAGCTTTATTCATATACACAACTTTTCATACCTTGATTCTCATCTACAAAAATATATCTAAATAAAACTATATTATATTTCTTCTTGGTACATTATATTATTCGGATCCAAATCTGCTTCAGTACACCTCTCACTGGACAGAATCCAATGAGAATCCAAGGGCTGCGGAGATCAAACCACCTCAGCCCTTTTTGCTACATCAGACACAAACAAACTCAGCACCCAATCAATAACACAGTCAACAAAATTACTGATATACTCTTTTTTTTTACCACATGTACTAATATAGCAGATCTCTAGCATACATTTATCCATTAGATATATACAAAAATATATATACAAATATTATACAAATCTTATATACAAAAATATATTATATACAAAAATATTTTATTCCATTCCTTTTCAGCACAATTATAAATCTCAATATAACATACACTTATATATTATCTATATACAAAAATATATATACAAATCTTAAATACAAAAATATATCACCGTTTAGTATCCAAATATACGTATAACAATATATTATATACAAAAATATTTTATTCCATTCCTTTTCAGTAAAATTGCAAATCTCCATACAACATACAATTATACATTATATATATACAAATTACATTTCAGTATCCAAATATATGTATAACAATATATTATATACAAAAATATTTTTTTCCATTCTTTTTTACTAAAATTACAAATCTTAAACATTGATTATGTATCAGTACAGCTCAACATCCAAATATAAATTTATTTAAGATTTTAGGGTTTTGAAATAAATGACTAATTATATAGATTTTAGAGTTGTGGAAGTTAATTTTTTAAATGTGTTAGGAAAATATGTTGATGCTATATGCAATTTATACGTGATACATGTTTAAAAAAGTTGTGATAATAATAATTTGATTTGTCCAACTTTTGTATTGTATACTGATACAAAAAGTAAGTGATAGAATATGCAAATCTTTCCACATATATGTTGAAAGTATTTGTGGTTCTTCTTATTAATTTAGGAATTGTGAAATTGAATTGTGAAAGTTAATTTTTTTAACGTGTTAGAGAATTATGTTGATGCTATATACAATTCATACATGATACATGTTTTAAAAGTTGTGATAACAATAATTTGATCTCTCCAACTTTTGTATTGTATGCTGTTACAAAAAGCAAGTGATGGAATATGCAAATCTTCCTACATATATATTGAAAGTATTTGTGATTCTTATTATTAATTTAGGAATTGTGAAATTGAGTTGTGGAAGTTAATTTTTTTAATGTGTTAGGAAAATATGTTGATATAATATGCAATTCATACATGATACATGTTTTAATAAGTTGTGAACATAATACAATTAATACATGATACATTTTTTAATAAGTTGTGAACATAACAAATTGATCTGTATGCTGTCACAAAAAATAGGTGATGAACCCAGCCTTCAAATTTTTTTATTACCAATAATCATTACTAGATTGCCGCCATATAAGATAAACTTTGATATATTATTATGAATAAAGTTACAAGAAATTCAAAATAATAACCTAATGCTTATAATGATCGGAGCTTCAACTTCTCGCCGGACTATCGGAAATATTTTGGGGGAATCTCTCTTTTTCAGAAATTTTAGCTTATCACCTGAATATATGGTGATTTTTCCGACTAGATCTCTTTTTGTTTGTTATGCTTCTTCGACCTTTACAAAGAGAGTTTTTAATACATAAACATAAATAGCATAGTTTTGGGGAAAGTTTCTTCACCAGATTTCAAATTCTTTCCTATTTGATATTTTAGACATAGTATATATAGTAAAGTTTTGGAGAAGGTCAAATTTCCTTTTAGAGAGAAATTGAAAATTGAAACTTAAATACAATTTTGGAAAGATGCAAAAATACATAAAGAAGATGTATAAATTACCGCAGGACTGGATGATTAGAGCTTCAGTTTCTCGTCGGATCGGATGATCGGAGATTCAGCTTTTCGCCGAAATGTATAGTGATTTTTCCAAACGGAGTTTCTTTGAATAGAGATCTTTTGTCTTCCACAAAATTTCATAAGTTCAATTTCTTCTTCTACAAAATCTATGTCTGGTTCTTGGTTGCCTTCTTTCTCGGTTACATTTGATCATGGAGTTCAGTTTGCATATTTCAGAAATGAGAGGGATATTTTAGATTGACTATATATATTTCAGAAATAAGAGTAATATTTCATATTTGTATATACATATATCAGTTTTGGGGGCAAGTTGAATTTTTATTTTGGGGGAATTTCAAATTGAAAATCAAATACAGGTGCAGAATATAAAAAAGTATATACAGAATATAAACAATTGTGTACAATTAAAAAAATATAAAATAAATTACAGTGCTTACCTATTTTACCACTTTTGCCACATAAGTCTAGTCATCCCTCACCGAACAGTTTCAATGAGAGGGGAATGGAGACGAATTTTTCCCATTTCCTGCACCCCTTTGTGTCAGCATTTCATGTATTTATTGCCACCTAAATCTAAGTAATGAAAAGCGGAAGAAAGAAAGTTTGGACCTAGTAAAACAAAGTGAGTCCAAAGTCATCTCCCCCAATTGACGCCCAAAAAAACTTGTGTGTGAACTGTAAACACATTACAGACGCAAAAACACCACCAAGTCATCCATTTCAGACGAGTCAAAAGCAAGCAAATCACACCCACCCAATAAACCATTCACACCATCACCAACAGTTGGAAGATTGTGATCTTCCAATCCATTCAAAGTCTTACCCATAACCCATTTCTTTGAATCTCTGATTCAACTCACTAATCTTTCTACAAATTTCAAATTCTCAATCCTTCGGGTGAGAGCTGATTTGGGTGGTTCCTTGTGTTAGAAATTGTGTCTCGATTTTCCGATTTTGTTAGGTAATTTCTTGTTAATGGCGGATATAGTGAAGGATATTCTAGCCAAGCCCATCCAATTGGCGGATCAAGTGGCGAAGACAGCCGGCGAGGCGAGCTCGGGCAAGCAAGATTGCCTGGAGCTCAAGTCCAAGGCGGAGAAGCTCGCCGCCCTCCTCCGCAACGCCGCGCGCGCCAGCAGCGACCTCTACAAGCGGCCCACTGTCCGGATCATCGACGACACCGAGCAGGTCCTCAACAAGGCCCTCGCGCTCGTCCAGAAATGCAATTCACACGGCCTCGTCAAGCGCATCTTCACCATCGTCCCATCCACATCCTTCCGGAAGATGTCAGCCAACCTCGAGAACTCCATCGGCGACGTCACCTGGCTGCTCCACGTCTCCGCCGCCGCCGCGGGCGGCGGCGGCTACGTCGGCCTCCCTCCGATCGCCGCCAACGAGCCGATTCTCTGCTTGATATGGGCACAGATTGCAAGTCTCTACACTGGGTCGCTCGATGATCGATCTGACGCCGCGGCTTCGCTTGTTTCGCTTGCCCGGGACAATGATCGGTACGGGAAGCTGATCATCGAGGAAGATGGGGTCGGACCATTACTGAAATTGGTGAAGGATGGAAAACCGGAGGGTCAAGAAAACGCCGCAAGAGCGATTGGGCTTCTGGGTCGTGACACAGAAAGCGTCGAACACATGCTTGAATTGGGTGTGTGCCAGGTGTTTGCGAAAATCCTCAAAGAAGGTCCCATGAAGGTTCAGGCTGTTGTGGCCTGGGCTGTGTCGGAACTCGCCGCCCATTACCCCAAATGTCAAGATATCTTCGGCCAGCACAATGTAATTCGTTTGCTAGTTGTTCACCTTGCCTTTGAGACAGTCGAAGAACACAGCAAGTATGCCATTACTAGCAATAAAGCTACATTGATCCAGGCCGTTGAAATCACAAGTGGGAGCTCGAAAACAGGTAATAATGTCAGCAAGGGAAATGAGGATGCTGACAAGAAAAACCAGAGTCAAATTCCACATCCATTGGGAAAGAAACAGTCCAATCATATGCACAATGTGGTTACTAGTACTATGGCCATAAAAGGCCAACTCAAGCCACCTCAATGGCACAATAATGGAGCGAATGAAACCAACCATGTGAAGAGCAACATTAGTAACAATGCGACCCAAAACCATCACCACCAGCAGAATGTTCTGCTCTCTAGTGGTAAAGGGAGGGAATTGGAGGAGCCAGCCACAAAGGCTTATATGAAAGCAATGGCTGCAAGAGCCCTTTCGTGCCTTGCCAAAGGAAACTCAGCCATTTGTCGTAGCATTTGTGAGTCAAGAGCTCTACTATGCTTTGCTGTCCTCTTAGAGAAAGGGTCCAAAGATGTTCAGTACCATTCAGCCATGGCCTTGATGGAAATCGCCGCAGTAGCAGAGCATGATACTGAGCTGAGAAGATCAGCATTCAAGCCCAATTCGCCCGTTTGCAAAGCCATTATTGAGCAATTACTAAAGGTCGTTGAGAAGGCAGATTCTGAATTGCTCATCTCATGTATTAGGACTATTGGAAACTTGGCCAGGACCTTTCAAGCGACGGAGACAAGAATCATAAAGCCATTAGTGCAGTTACTTGATGAACGAGAAGCTGAGATTTCTAAGGAAGCTTGCATTACTCTCACAAAGTTTGCCTCCACTGACAATTATCTCCACCTTGATCACGCCAAAGCCATAATAGCTGCTGATGGAGCGAAGCACCTAGTCCAGCTTGTGTACTTCGGAGAACAACAAATTGTTCAAAGGTCTGCACTTGTTCTTCTCTCTTATATTGCACTGCATGTATCAGACAGCGAAGAACTTGCCCGAGCTGAGGTGCTCGTCGTGCTTGTATGGGCATCAAAGCAAGCATTCTTGGTCCACGATGAGAAGGTTGAGACATTGCTACACGAGGCCAAAGGTAGACTGGAGGTCTTTCAGTCCAGAGGTTCAAGGGGATTCCATTAATTCAGGTCTGGCCAAGAGAAGATTTTGTTAATTTATTATGTTATTATCATGGAGTGCATTATGTTTGTAGACATTATAGTTCTTTTCTGTAATTTTTTTGAAGAATTCCCAAATGTATTGTATGTAACCATTATAGTTCTCGTCTCTAATTTTTTTTTTTTTAAACTCCCAAATGTATTTGATTCTTCTATTTTTCTGTGTTCCTTGTTGATACCTATTTGCAACTTTGGTGCACTATTGGTAAACTAGTTCTTAAAAGTTCTTTTAGCGAAAGTAGCATTTGTGTGGAATGAAAACTTAGAAGGGCTTGCAGGTAGTTGATCTTGAATTTCACAAGTGATGCATAGCCACTGAAGTGGTGTTTCAATCCCACAGCCTGGACATTCTCAAAAACTTGTACAAATTTAGCGTATTTTGGTTTCGATCTGATATGGAGAAGAAATGTAAATTCCATTGTTAAATTGCTAACCATCCTTTAGCAAGGTCATTTACCCAGAAAGTATTAGGAACTGAAAGAGATAAGAGTGATACCTGAAGAAATTTTCAATGATCACTGATATGCTTCTATTTTGGCCCTCTTCATGTTTGCATTCTTATATGCTCGACTTTCCCTATGGTTATCTTGCTCTGTTGATACCCTGGTTTTCAACTGTTCCTTGCTCCCGGACTCAGCATAATGTGCAGTTCTTGATTCTCAGTTCCTTGCTATTCAATTCTTAGCTATTCATGTTTTTAGGATCTTTGTCTTTGAAGTTTCTAATAGGTGCCTTTGTTCTCTATGCGATCTTCATGCTTTGTATTTTCATTTGCTTCACGTTTTTTCATATTTTCATTTAGACTGGTGGTTCTGTTTGTTTGTTTGTTTTTTTTTTGGGAAGAGAGGGAAACCTTCAGCAAGCTGTTTCTACAAGCTAACGCTCACAATGCAGCTAACTGCATTTTGAGCATCCATTTAAAGGTGGGTGTGTGGTCTTCTGCTAAACACAGCCATCTTGAAGAATCTGCTTCAGTTCTGTTATTAACACATAAAACACCAAACAGCGGTAAGAAATTCATTGTTGGAGGCATCCACAAATGTGATTTTGTGGTGTCATGTTGTGACTCACTTTTTCGACCGGTGCTCCATTGGACAAGCTTATGAAGTGGGTTGGAGGGTGAGGATATCAAAGATGGATTGGACCCGACCCGACCCGCGGGTAGAGCATCAGGTTGAGTGGTAGGTCCGAGCCCAAGCAAAAAGGGTAGCATTATGAGCCCAACACCCACGAAAGAAGGATCTGACTGAACAGTTGAACTCAGCCCATAATGCAATACTGTGAGTTAGGCCCAACATCTGAGACTTACATGATGAAGTCAGGCCCAAAAGGAAGAAAGCCCAAGAATAAGAGCCTTATGTAATAAGTTGGTTAGAACATTTGTAATGGTCTATAAATAGACAATACGAGTAGAGAGAAGGGAGGTTTTTTGGGGGGAGTTTTCATTTTGTTGAAGTGTAAGAGTTCTAGAGAGAGAAAGGTGATTGAATTTCTTGCATCTTCAATTGGCGCTGTCTGTGGGAATGTTGGAGATTGATTCTTGTTTTGATCAACGTCATGTTGATTCCGACTGATTGACGACGAAGCTTGATTTCTAGAAGTTTAGTCTAGATCTAAGAGATTGCGGTTTGCTCTTGAGAGATTCTGGATTCTTGATTGATTCTGAGAGATTGGCGTTAGGTTTACGCAGCTGTGATTCACTCTATCGCGGCTGGATCCGACAAGCTCAGACGCCGGGAAAGCTCTGATCTATCGAAGGGAAAGCAAAACTCGTAAAATTTGAGTTCAGATCTGACGTGATTCGCGTCAGCGAGACTCAGATCTAACTTAGAATTTACGATTTATGCCTTTGCTTTGTTCTGGAATGATGATTGGGGGTGAGAACTCCAATACGGTAGAGAATGTCCAGCAGATGAAACTTGACGAGTTGATGAGCATGATCGAGGCTCTCAGGAGAGAGAATGCAAATTTAAGGATTGAAATGCAGCGTCAAGAAGTTCAGGTGATTCCGCGATCGCTCCCGGCAGGAGAACAAGTTGCGCGTACCGATGCGGCACATCACGACGAGGAGGTAGGGAACAATCAGACAGATCTTCACCGCGAGGAGGTTCGGCCAAACGATTTGCCACCAAATCCTCGTTGTGTTGATGATCATGAAGGATCAACTCACGTGGATCCACGGCGTGAATAGATCAGGCGAAACGAAGCCATGACTTTTGATCCACATCAAGAAACGCTCAGCCGAGGTGAAGCAATGGAGTTTGATCGTCACAAAGCTATACCTCCATGGCACAGAAAGTTTGTTGAGGACAGATCATTCGATCCGACTTATCGGCCTTCCATGGCGACGTTCGACTATCGCGGCTCAGAGAGGTGATCTGTATATCAGAGAGCAATCGCGGGGTTCCAGAGGGAAAATGAAGCCCTTCGTTCAGTAGCTCGAACGGTTGATTCACCGTTCACCGATGAAATTCTGAATGTTCCGAGTCCGAGGAAATTTTCCATGCCCGTTTTCATTCTGTTCGACGGAACGACCGATCCGATTGATCATGTGTATCACATCCAGTTGAAAATGGCTCTGAACACTAAGAATGATTCCTTGATGTGCAAGTGCTTCCCTACGAGTCTAGCTGGACTAGCGCTCAATTGGTTCAAGAACCTGCCGAGGGGCTTAGTGGATAGTTTCTGAAGTTTGTGTGATCGGTTCATAAGCCAATATTATGGAAATAAGCATCCAGCAAAGGACATTTCGAGCCTATTCACAATGAAGCAGCATGAGGATGAGCGTCTCCAAGCTTTTCTAACCAGGTTTAACCTTACCAAGAGTATGGTGATTGAATGTCATCCTTCTACGGCAGTTCAAGCGTTTATACTGGCCATGACTCGTGGCACTCCATTTCACACAAGCTTAGTAGTGAACACGCCGAAGACTATGGATGAACTTAATAAAAGAGCTGATGGATTTGTACGCTTGGAAGAAGAAGAAACAGCTAACGGTCGGAAGACATCCGTCATATCAACAGAGGAAAAAACCAAAGCAAAGATCAGACAAAAGCAGGTTCAGCCACAGCGTTCCTCGTGGAAATCTGAGAAGAGGCCCAGAGAGGAAGAGCTGGTTACTCCATTGAAAGTTACCTTAGCAAGGCTGTACCAAGAAAATAAAGATAAGTTCCGATCTCCTTTACCAATCAAACAACCCCTCGAACAGAGGGATCAGTCTAAGCATTGTGCATTTCATTCTGACTTTGGCCATCAGACTAACGAATGCAGGAACTTAAGGAGACAGGTAGAGATGCTGATAGCCAAAGGGGAGTTTGCAAGTTATATTCAAGGCTTGGCAGTGGAACAGAATCGACCGATGGAGCATGTGAAGAGGAATCAGAAGTCGAACTCTCACAATACGCAACCAGTTCGAATAATCAATGCAATTCACAGTCGCCCTGAGCCTGCTGAGGAGTCAGATAAACTGTTTTGAACACGCCTTCGCCAGGCACGAATGAAGAGGAGGATAGGCAGTGTAAACACTCTGCACCAACAGAGCGCATCAACACAGATAAAGTTTGGCAGAACAGATTTATTGCGTGTTCAGATCACTCATGAGGACCCGTTGGTCGTCAGTTTGATAGTGGCTAAATGTTTGGTACGCAGAGTTCTGATTGATCCTGGAAGTAGTGTGAACGTCATGCCGAAGGACACATTTGATCGGCTCGAGATCAAGCCGGATCGACTCAAATCCACTGGGAATCCTTTACTAGGGTTTGATGGAAAATGAGTGGAGCCCATCGGTACGGTGGAGGTAGCGATACATGCTGCAGAGAGGGTTCTGATGGAGACCTTTGTGGTTGTCGAGATTCATCCCTCTTACAACCTTCTGATGGGCAGAGGGTGGATCCACAGAGTTCAAGGTGTTTGTTCTACTCTGCATCAAGTAATGAGATGCCTGGGGCCAGACGGAGCCAAGGTGATCGACATTCATGGGGATCAGGTTGCAGCTAAGGAATGTTATTCAGTAACGCTGAAATATGCTGGAAAAGGGAAAGCACCCATCCGTTCGGCAAACCCGAGATAACAATTACAGGAACCTTCCCCCAAGCAGAATGGGGAGGAGGAGCTAGTGGACTTGACCAAAGAACCCCTGGTTGATGTACAGATCGATCGGTTCCGACCAGAACGAACAACCAGAGTGGGGGAACGACTTGCTGTGGCGGAGAAACAGAAGTTAGTTGATTTCTTGTCTCAGAATGCCGATGTATTTACGTGGAGCCACCTAGACATGCCTGGAATAGATCATTCCGTATCCTGTCACTCCTTGAACGTAAATCCCAATGCAAGACCTGTAAAGCAGAAACAACGAAGGTTTGTTCCAGAGCGTAACCGGATCATAGCCGAGGAGGTTGACAGGCTACTTGATGCGGGATTTATAAGAGAAGTGTATTATCCTGACTGGTTGTCAAACATTGTTGTTGTGCAGAAGAAGATGGGAAATGGCGAGTGTGCATTGATTTCACCAATTTGAACAAAGCCTGTCCGAAGGATAGCTTTCTGCTGCCGAAAATTGATCAAATGGTGGACACTACTACTGGATATGAGCGTTTAACCTTTTTAGATGCTTATTCAGGTTATAATCAGATCCCCATGGACCCTGCTGATGAAGAGAAAACTTCTTTCGTTACCAAGCGCGGGACCTATTGTTACAAAGTCATGCCATTCGGACTGAAAAACGCCGGAGCAACTTACTAAAGACTTATTAGCAAAATTTTCAAGGGTTAAATAGGGAAGACCGTGGAAGCTTACATTGATGACATGGTAGTAAAAAGGAAGAAGAAAGTTGACCATCTGAAACATCTACAAGACGTATTTGATGTGTTGAGCCACTATGGAATGAAACTCAATCCAACCAAGTGCTCATTCGGCGTGAGTTCTGGTCAATTCCTAGGACACGTGGTTAATCATAGAGGCATAAAAGCTAGCCCAGCTTAAGCAGAAGCTCTGACTATGAATGCCAAGCCGATAACAGTCAAAGAAGTACAAACACTTACGGGACGGATAGCTGCGTTGAGCCGGTTCATTTCCAAATTATCAGATCGCTGCAAACCATTTTTTGACACAATACGAAGCCATGGCAGACAAGTTTGGGGGGATGAACAGCGCCTAGCATTAACTGGTCTGAAGGAAT